GTTTCCATGTGCTTATTTGCCACCTATCTCTTTTTTTGGTGATGCATCTGCTCAGATGTTTTGCCATTTAAAAAAATTGAATTGTTTATCTTTTCATTATCAATTTGTAAGACTTCTTTGTATGTTCTGGGTACTATTCCTTTATCAGATATATGTTTTGACAGCTTCTTTTGTTATATATTAAAAATTATAAGAATCTAAGTCATACCATTTTTCTTCCAAACCACTATCCTCTGCACATACTCTAATTAAGGGACTAGGAACGACTCAAACTTCCAATTTACAAACATCATAGTGCTGCTGGAACAGAGGGTCAAGCAGTACTTAAAACCTGCTAAGACTCCTGAGACTATTTTTATCTCCATTGCAAGCACCTAACACCACCAAAACTTTAAGGAAAGCTACATCTGGAGAAATGACTGTCCTATGAACAGCTTTTGGCCCCCCAGGCTCTGCACCTCCCAAAGCCCTGTTCTGGTCCGCCAGACTTCTGGAATGGTCAACAGTCGTCACACTCCATTGCTGGCCATTGTTCACTGGGAAAGGTAGGAGGCTCCCAATCCATCCCTCAGTGGAAGAGCAAATAGTGGGGCCTGTGGCTGCTTGGACATCAAAGTTGAGCAAACAGGCCTGGTAGGCCCTGCCTCTCCGCCTACACATCCTGCAAATGCCATCTGAAGGAGCTTCCCCAAGGGGGTCATGACTTTCAGCTTGTCATAGCACACATCAAAGTTTGCACCACACACGAACTGGGTGCATGGGTTCGAATCAAGTCGCCCGAGAGCGGATACTCAGCCATTGTGTCCAGTTTTAATCTTGTGTTTTCCCAAGTAATTAAGCCTTCTTGCTTATGAACTTGTGACTAAGTAAAGCATCACTGAGAGGTTGTAACATCAAAGTGCCTTCCACCGTCTGTCCGTGTTTAGTAAAATTGGATTTCTTTCCCTTCTTAAAGAAAAACTAATTGAATTTAGCTGAAGGCTGTGTATATTTGCACAAGCCGGTGAGGGCTATGCTAAGTCACAGTGATCATTCTGGGACCCTGTGGCTTACTTAGCCTTTAGCTGGACTGGGTCAGAGTGCAATATAGAATGAGACACCCAGACTCAGGCTAAACAAGTGCCTTGCGGCATGAGGCTTATAGAGGGCTCACTGTGGAGAAGGGGGCCAGACCCCAGTGACTGTTCCTTGAGTCAATACTATACCCAAGCTGTTACTAGGGCTGGCAAAAGGATTGTCCTAGTAGAATGTTGGTAAAGCTTTGGCAGCATGGCTACTGAGGACAATGGCCATCACATTGCTCAAGTCCTTGATGTCAGCAGTCCAAGTAAGCTTCTTAAGGCAAAAGCTGTGACTGCTTATTCTCTGAATCCCCGATAGCGTTGCATATTAGCACCTGACACCGCAGAGGTTTTAAATATGTTTGCTGGATATACATAATGATAATATATATTTTATATATATAATGATAATATAAATACATGTAATATACAGAGATATAATGCTCTGTATCCCTTTTTTGCTTTATCAGGAAATGTCAATCTAAATTAATACCCAATTTCCCTAATTACCTAATTTACAGTAAATACAGCATGGTCCCATTCATGTTAAATTTGTATGTAAACATATATACAACAATTAACTGCTAGATAGAGGGAATTCAGGTGATTACTACTTTCTTTTCTATATGTTTTTTACAAAAACAATAAATCTGTTTTCAGAAAAGAGAATCTCTGGTTCAATCTTTATAAAATTATCTTTCCTTTAACCAATATGATTTCTGATCTTGATCCAGTTTTCCCTCTCCTGTGTATATTTATATGTGTATTTTAATTTAAGTTACTTCAAAATAAAAGGAGAAAATACATTATAAATTAAATTCTTGTGCATATTTTTAGAAAGTAGTTCACTGTTATTTCCTATTCAGAACTAGAAAGTACATACAAATCTAGAAATTCAAAAGAAGTTAAGCTCCTTAAGGATAGAGACTGTTGTATTCTATATCCCTAAATACTTAAGATATTATTAAGCAGCATCAGGGTGAAATGATTGGGCTACTCTGAGGATCTCTCTCTTGAGCTTGTGGGCTGCCTACATCCTAAAGGAGGTGAAGGTTCTCTCTGCTTTCAGCCTTGAATCAAGGGTGCTCCCCTTCTATCTTCCCTTCATCGAAATCTAACTCAAAGATGGTAGCATTTCAGGCCTGACCAATATGATTCTGGAAGGAGTTAGTGACTGATTACAGGAAAATCAGTACATTTCTAACAAGGAGAAACCTATTGGCAGATTGTGCTGGTATGGATATGATAATCCTTCAAGATTACTCACCATTGTTAAGGGCACCTTAACAATGAGGCCTACTCACCCTGACCAATGTACGTTCTGCTTTTCCTTTTTCCCATGGCACTTCTTCTAATATATTATATAGTTTACTTTGCCATTATACTTATTGTCTGTCCATGCCTTTCTCTATCCAAGGACCACAACTAATACAGAAAGAAGCTCTCTGTGGGCAGGCATCTTTGTTTATCATCAATGTTATTTCAAGTACATAGAACAGTACCTGGCAAACAGTAGGAGGCAAAAAAAATTCTGTGATATGAATACATAAATCCAACCCAAGAGTATCCTATTTTAAATAAAAATCTGTCCTCCCTGGATGGTGGAAGGAAGAGAAGGGCACAAAATGGATACTTAATTAGTCCAACTAATGTAAGCCAACACTCTCACTTTGTTCAACAGGCATCACTGATTTGCTAATAGCTCTGGATAAAGACAGAACAATCAGTTAAACCAACAACTCATTAGATTCAAAGAGACGTGTCCCCAAAAGCACATCTACTAGCCATCTGATCACTAATTGACAGTATTCTTAAGCATCATGTTATTTCCTATTCAGTCTCAACCTTGAAACTACTAAACACAGAAAGGAACACATCTCTCCACCTCTCCTTTAGCACCACTGGCTATTTCTTGCAGAGGGAAACACCTGCAAGCTGGGGGAAAAGACTGGTGCATGTAGTGAAGTACCAGTGGTGTAGAATTAATAGGTGTGTTTGTGTACAGAGGTCTAATGGGGCATCAGAGACTAACAACCCACCATTTATAACCTGTAGCATATACATTACCTCATTTGATGCTCAAAACAATATGGTGAGAATCTACTCTGCTGCCACACTAAATTTCCTCCCACCCTTTGCTTTGATAGTATAACATAGACACTGCTCTAAAATCACTGATTATACTATACTATGTCTCTTTACCTGCATTTGTTTTTCCCATTGGACTGCAAACTCCCCATGGTCTTGGATTCTGCAAACACTAGCACAGGGCCTGGCTCAAGGCAGATATTCACTAAATGTTCATAGAAACACTTTCTGATGAAGAAACAGGGTGTCCATGGACTTCTGAAATTCAGTTAAGGCTTGGAACCAGGACTTGACTCCAGGTCTCTCAACTATGAAGCCTACTTATATCAATCTTGCTTTTAAAGCACAGGTGCTTGGAGCTAACGAGGGCAAATCAGGAAACTGAGTGACTGAGAACAAGACTGAGAATAACAAAGGCGCACAGAAGAGAGACCCATCTCATGTATGGCTAAGTCTCTCAGTCAGTCTGGGGCAGCACCACCTCTATATTATAAAATCCCAGTTACATTTTTTTCTTTCATATTTATAATCCTTTCAGAGGTGGCCAGTACTGGCAGATAAAAGCCTTAAACACCTACTTGCAGAAAGAATTGAAACTGGTACCTCCAACTATAAATTTCAATGGCTGCTACTAAAGTGCCCAGTCTACTTTCTTTGAAAGTATCCTTTTTTGCTCTTATTTAATCAATTTCACACAATCGTAGCTAGAGCAAATGTGTACTTCATCCCAACACTTCCAGAATTATACGGGCTCCAAGGCAGAAATCAGAACAGAATGAAATGGAAAGGCAGCATCCACACTAGGCTGGGATTTGACATCGGGAGGTAGCAGTGAGATACAGTAAAAAACACAGACCATAGCTGGGCACAGTGGCTCACGACTATAATCCCAATACTTTGGTAGACTGAGGGTACAGGAGCACTTGAGGCCAGGAGTTCAAGAGCAACATGGGTAGCATAGTGAGAGCCCTATCTTAAAAAAAAAAAAAAAAAAATTAGCCCAGTGTGGTGTTGCACACCTGTAGTCCCAGCTACTAGGGAGGGTAAGGTGGGTGTATCACTTGAGCCCAGGAGGCAGGGGCTGCAGTGAGCCATTGACTGCGCCATTACACTCCAGTCTGGCTGACCAAGCAAGACTGTATCTCAAAAAAAAACTCAAAAACACTGTAACAGACTTTGCAAGCAGCCAGACCAGGTTCTAAATCCTGTCCAAGTGACATAGATATATCACTTTTTCTCTTTGGGTTTCAGTTTCTGAACTACAACATGAGTATAATATATATGTTACGGAGCGACTATGAGAATTAAGATAACTCACTACACGAGGTAAACTATTTCAATCTTTATACAATAGCTACAACCCTGAGAGAATGAGGGAGCGGGCAGGAAAACGGCAGAGCCTCCAATGGGAGGAAAAGAGATTCTCCCATCTTTCTTAGTTTCCAGCAGAACCTCCAAAGAAAAAGCCCTTGGAGGAGCACTTGCTGGGGACAATAACTGCAGACTTCTCAAGATGAATAGATGGGGGTAACAGAACATGACAGTAACTTGCACCTATACAGATAACCACTTACAACAGGCTCCAAACATCTGGTTGCTACAATAATGCAAATGACTGGCCTCAGGTCACAAAGCCAATGACTGAAGGAGCTGGGAATCAAAGCTACATCTTCCGTGTCCACGGCTACTATAGAGTCCAATGCACCAGGTGAAGTCCAATACCTTAGTCTGAATCCATCTCCCTGCCACTGGAAGAAGACAGCAGGGAGGCACAACAGGTGGGAGCATGCTCAGCAGCGCGCACTGCAGAGATCTGCCTAAAGGAGCCCTATGTGGAAGGAGATCTCTCACCTGTCATTTCGGTTGATGGCTGCCACCATGAGTGCTGTCCAGCCAAGTCTGTGTCTTGCATTGACATCTGCGCCTTCTGACAGCAGTCTAAAATGAGACAGAGAAATATTTTCAGGGTATGGCTTATCATGGATGTAAGAGTGGAAACAACCATAGAAGAAATGACACAGTCAACAAATGGAGGCTGAGTGAGTCTGGAAACAGAGGCCTTTGAGGACTACATTCCCAATCTCAGCTTCTCTGGTCATTCTGCCCCATCAAGCCTTCCCCAACCTCTCTCCTTCCCTTAAATCAGTCTGTCCCCCCTGTTATCCTCCTAGCCATTGAGAAAAGAATGATCCCTCCCTATCTTAATACTCTGACACTCTCACTCCCTTGGTCCAGAATACTCTCTCCCTGCCCCTTTGCATATTTGAATTCTCCTCTCATGCTATTTAATACAATCCTTGTGGCTTGTGGACTCCTAAGAAGGAAGCCTTCCTTGGCTCATCCAGTCCACAGCTCTTCCTTCCTTAATTTCCCAATGTTAGGAACAGAATACCTAATGACATGTCTTATCTAGTTAGTTATCAGTTGACAAAATGATCATATTTCTCAACTTTATCTGTATTGTGGTTGTTTAGAAATTGAAAATCCTTCAACCCAAGGAAAGATGGAAATAGATTAGGTTCCTAGGAGAGTCCACATAGACCCTCCAGGAATCTATATGCCAGTGCCTAACATGTTGTAGAAGCTTAATAACTGTTAAATAAATTAACAAACACAGAATTTAAAGTATCCCACTAAAAGTCTGAATTTTGGCTCCTAGGAATAAGGGACCCAACAATGTAGGGGTGGGTAAATAGAATGAACTCTTACGAGCACCTTCTGCAAGCAGGAACTATCCCAGGTACTTTACACTCATGATTCCATGTGCTCTTCATACCACCTAAGGACCTAAGAGTGATCTCCTCTTTTCAGGGATAAGGTAGCAGGTTCATTGAGGTGAAATGACTTGCTTAAGGTCACACAGCTGCTTAAGGGGCAGTGCAGTGACTGGCTGGCAGTGACTCTAAGCCAGGCTCCTTCTCACCTCACTACCCTTCCTCTAGACAGAAGCTGGCTCTAGATAACATGAAAGATAAAGACTACATTGATGTCAGTGAATCAGCATGACATGTGCTTGGTCCTGTGCTAGATTCTGGACGAGGGTGAGGAGAAGACATAGCTCAAGACAGTATATCAAACAACACAGTGCTAAGAAAGGGCAGAAGGGGTTGGGGAAGCTAGGAGGCTGTCTGTTTTTCAGTGGGTTCTAGCCAAAGGGCAGAAAGTCCAAAGGCTTGGGTTTGAGTCCTAGCACCATTCTTGTGCCACAATCTATAGTAAATGTCCTTACAGATCAAGTCAAATAAAATCTCTGTGTTGCTGATGTTAGCAGGTTGAGAGGATGAGAACTCTCAACTCTCAACTAAGGCTTGAGAGGATGAGAAACATCATGTACTAACGCTTCTTTGAAACACTTTCAAAAGCACTGTCAAAGCCCAAGAGGGAGACACACCACAGAACTGCATGTCTCATGAGTGCTATGAATGGGACTACGGGTTGCAGGCACACAACAAGGGAACTTAACCCAGTCTCAGTGGCCAAAAAGGCCTCTCTGAGGAGGTGCTGACAAAGGGGAACTGGCCAGACAAAAGGGGGTGAAGGAGGGGAAAGAGTGTTCCAGGTAGAGGCAGTCTTCTTCACCTACAGCAGGCATGGGATACATGAGACCCCGTAAGAGGTTTGGTATGACTGGGGCACAAAATGTTAGGGGAGAGTATTAAGAGAGATTAGGAAACCTTCCTTTCTTATCTCTAGTTTGGAGGATTTATTCTGGTGAAGGTCCCTTACTATACATAATGTTAAACTTCTTTTATGCAGAAACCATTTTCTTTTTTTTTTTTTTCCCATTTATTTATTTTATTGCATTT